CTTCGTCGAAGAACCTGTTCACGTTCTCTATGGTCCGGCGAACCTCCGCGGCGGTGAGGAGATCTTATGCGGCGAACTCAGGAGAAGGCTGCTTCTTAGGAGGAGACTGCTTTTTAGAGGCAGCCTTACATCTATAGGCACGGCCCGCGCCTCCTAAGAAGCAGGGTGTTTCTAAGAAGACTTCCACCCTCCCCCTATACCCCCCACTGCGCGTGGCCGAGAGAAAGAGCAGCTACGTGTCCGACCAAGGACCCCTTGGTGCCCCTCAGCCCTGGGCGGTGCTCGGCGGCCTTCTGGCGGTCTTCGACTGTCTTCTGGCGATCGTCTGGCGGTCGTCTGGCGGTCATCGGCGGTATTCGGTGCGGAAGCTGAACGGTTGCCTTCCACAAGGGACCCATGATCGTACACCCAAGAACAGTGCCGATGCCACCCCAGCTGGGCGACCCCATCAGCGTGCCAGTGTTGCAGAACGAAAAGGTGTACGTGCAAGAGGTGGTCGAGTAGCACGCGTAGTCTGAAGAACGGCGCGCGGAAAGGGCAGGGCTTGGAAGTTGGATGAGGAGGGAGGAGACAGGGTTGGAAGAGGAAGGGAGGAGGAGGATCCAGCACTGGTGGCAACGAAGCGCGGTGAGCTCAGGGCGGGAGGAGGGGAGAGGGACGAGCACGAAAAGGGATGGGCAGGAGCATGGGGCTAGAGGGGGAGGGGGTCAGAGAGGGGCGGGAAACGATGGCGGCTGGTGGATGGCGGATGGTGGATGGGGAAGGATGAAGGGGAGGGGCGGCGGGAGGAGGGATGAGCCTGGGTGGGGCAGCATCGAGCACGGAGAGCGAGGGGGGAGGGGGCGCGGGACTGCGGCCCGTGACCAGCGGGCCGTGGCCACCGGTCCATCCGAACGCCCTGGCCTCGGGTCAGCAGCTGAAGCTCTCGTCACGGCCACGGGGGGACCCACTGGCTCACCGCGAGAGGTCTTTGAGGCTCCAGAGGTGGGCGAGCAGCACGGGAGGGGGACGGCGCGTTGGGCCCCAGCAGCTCGCAGCGAAGGATCCTGAGGTGTCCGAGGTAGGCGGTAGGCGAGCAGCACGGGAGCTGAGGGCGCAGGAGCGGATGGGGCAAGGACCGTCGGGTCGCGCTCAGGGGCGGTGGCGCTCCGATGGAGGTGCCGAAGCTGGTCGGTAGCTGTCGAGGGTGCGCAATGCATGCGCACGATGACGAGGAGATTTCAAGCGGGTGCCAAAAACGACACACCCAAGCGATACTCCCGAACCCGCAGCGATGGCCGAGCCTTTTCGGCGCTGCATACGCCCATCCTCAAAAATGTGAACCTGTCTACATATGTACCTCTAGTAAAACAACGCGCGCTTCGCGCGCTTAGTTCCTAGCGCAGACTTGCCGATAGCAACTGCGAACTCAGATTGGAGAGGAGCAGGCAGATTGGCTGGAACATCATAGTTATTAGCTGCAGGGGGTCTCCTGGCCTTCCTTCCCCCCCTCCGCCTCCTCCTCCTCCTGCTCCTCCTGCTCCTCGTCTTCTTCCTCCTCCTCCTCCTCCTCCTCCTCCTCCTCCTCCTCCTCCTCCTCCTCCTCCTCCTCCTCCTCCTCCTCCTCCCCCCCCCCCGTGATCCTGCTCCTGCCGCTGCTTTCCTACTACTGGTTCCCTTCTCCTCGGCATCCTCCTCGTCACCTCCGCTCTTCATCTCCATGTCCTGCTCGTCCTGCTTCCCCTCCTCCTCCTCCTCCTCCTCCTCCTCCTCCTCATCCTTCTCCTCTTCTTCCTCCTGCAGAAAGAGGAGGAGGAAGAGGCAGAAAGGAGGAGGAGCAGGAGGAGGAGCAGGAGGAGGAGGAGGAGAAAGAAGAGGAGCAGGGGCAGGGCCAGGAGCGGGAGCGGGGATGAGGGAGGAGAGGGGCGGAGATGAGGCTGGCCGAGGCAGCGAACGAACGACGACACGAGAGCGACGGCGGGGACGGAGGACGAGGAAGGAAAGCAAAGGACGACGCCGCCCAGCCAGGCCCGCTGCTCTGTGCACCCGCGGAACCCTGGAGCAGGAGCGGCTCCGGAGCGGAACGGAGCAGGAGCAGGAGCAGGAGCGGATCCTCCTGCTCCTCCTCCTCCTCCTACTCCTCCTTTTTCCTCCTCCTCCTCCTCCTCCTCCTCCTCTTCCTTTTTCCTTCTCCTCCTCCTCCTCCTCCTCCTCCTCTTCCTGACTTCCTGACTTCCTGACTTCCTGACTTCCTTTCTCCTCCAGCGTGCTCCGGCAAGGCCCTGCCTGAACGCGCTGTGCACCCTTGCTGGCTTCACCTTCTCGTAGGAAGCTGACGCTGAGCCTTGTCGACCGCTACCGATGCGGAGGCCCCTTCCCAGGGACGTCTTGGGACCTTTTTTGGCCGTGGTGAGCTCCTCTTGGGCCGTCTTGGGGTCTGGAGCGGAGGCCAGGGAGGAAACCTCCAAATCCTCCTCTTCCTCCTCCAAATCCTCCTCGTCCGCCTGATCCTCTTCCTCCTCCAGGAATTCCTCCTCCTCCTCCTCCAGCGTTTCCCGGAAGGGTCCCGCTGGAACGCGCTGTGCACCATTGCTCGCTTCATCTTTCGTTGTGCGTGCGAGTCTCACGACGAGCCCTGTCGACCGATACCGATACCGAGACCCCTTTGCAGGACTGTTTCGGGACCTACTCGGGCCGTCTTGGGCGCCACTCTGGCTGTCCTGGAGTCGGGAGCGGAGGGAAGGGGAGAGCCCTCCAGGTCATCCGCCTGTGACCCCTCCTCCTCCTCCTCCTCCTCCTCCTCCCTCGTCCTCCTCTTCCTCCTCCTTCTCCTTCTTCTCCTCTGGACCTTTCTCCTCCTCCAGCCCTTGCCAGAAGGGTCCCGCCGAGATGCGCTTTGCACAATTGCAGGCTTCATATTTCATTGTGCGTGTGAGATTGACAGTGAGCGGTGTCGAGCGATACCGATCCCGAGACCCCTTCCATGAGCCGTCTTGGGTGCCTCTTGAGCCGTCTCGGGGCCGTGTTGGGCCGTCTTGGGGGGGTCTTTGAGCCCTCGTGGGGCCTCTTGCGGGCCTCTTGGGGCCTTCTAGGAACGTATCGAAGCGGAAGTTTAGGATTTCTGGTCCGCGCTCCTCCTCTGGCGCCACTCTAGAGGCCGTTTTGGGGCCTTCTTGGGCCGTCTTGGAGCCGTGTCGGGCCCGTCTTGGGGCGGCGAATCTTGGGGGCGTCCTGGGCCGTCCGGGCGAGTCTAGGGGGCCTCTTGGGCCGCCTCGGCACGTCGGGAGGCCGAAAAGGCGAAGCAGCTAAAAACGTTACAACACATGGAAGAAATCCTTGTTTCTGCTTGTTGTGGCCCTCTTGTGAACGGGCTTGGAACTTTCTCGCAGCGTCCTGGAGGCTTCTTGGGCCGTCGTTGCACCACTCTGGGGCCCTGTCGGGCCGTTCTTTGAGCAGGGACCGACCGTCCCGGCATCCCTATAGTCCTGCCACGCAATGTTCTCAGAACCCATTTATGTTCCAAGAACAAAAACCAGGTTCTTAGAACATATCTAGTAAAACAAGACGGACTCCGCCAGAAATGTTCTAAGAACAAGGTTATTCGAACATTGTTTGGTAGGGCTATAGGCGAGCCAAGACGCTTCGCCACTGCTTGAATTACGGTGCTTCCTGGAGCCCGCCTGGCCCGTTCTGGGGCCGGCCAGGGCCCGTCACCAACAGGGTCTTCAGAGCAGGCTGGGGCTCCCCGGCCCGCCCATGGAGAGTCGAGGCAACTGTTTTGGGGACCGCGAGCCTCCCCTCCCGGGATATGTGTATGTATGCATGTATGCATGTATGTGTGTATGTATGTCTCTCTCTATACATATATATATATATGTGTATATATATATATTATTGTATAAGCGAAAGAGAAAGGGAACAAACAAAACAAGCAACAACCATCTAAAATTAGCCTGGCGAAGGACCCAACCATATGCAGTTGTGAATATTGCAAATATGAATATCGTTTTCGGTGGCGCTACCTCTGGGTAGGGGAGACGCATGCGAATACCCCCACTTGGGCCTTCGGTGGAGCTCCCTATGGGGCTACGAAACGCTGCCCTGGGTGGGGGAACCGCATGCGGGCACCACCACTGGGGCCTTCGGTGGAGCTCCCTATGGGGCCACGAAACGCTGCCCTGGGTGGGGGAACCGCATGCGGGCACCCCAACTGGGGCCTTCGGTGGAGCTCCCTATGGGGCTACGAAACGCTGCCCTGGGTGGGGGAACCGCATGTGGACACCCCCACTGGGGCCTTCGGTGGAGCTCCCTATGGGGCTACGAAGCGCTGCCCTGGGTGGGGGAACCGCATGTGGACACCCCCACTGGGGCCTTCGGTGGAGCTCCCTATGGGGCCACGAAACGCTGCCACTGGGTGGGGGAACCGCATGTGGACACCCACTGGGGCTACGGTGGAGCTCCCTATGGGTCTACGAAACGCTGCCCTGGGTGGGGACCGCATGTGGACACCCCCACTGGGGCCTCCGGTATAGCTCCCTACGGTGCTAACGAAACGCCCGAAACGCTGCCCTGGGTGGGGGAACCGCATGTGGACACCCCCACTGGGGCCTTCGGTGGAGCTCCCTATGGGGCCACGAAACGCTGCCCTGGGTGGGGGAACCGCATGTGGACACCCCCACTGGGGCCTTCGGTGGAGCTCCCTATGGGGCTACGAAACGCTGCCCTGGGTGGGGGAACCGCATGCGAACACCCCCACTGGGGCCTTCGGTGGAGCTCCCTATGGGGCTACGAAACGCTGCCCTGGGTGGGGGAACCGCATGCGAACACCCCCACTGGGGCCTTCGGTGGAGCTCCCTATGGGGCTACGAAACGCTGCCCTGGGTGGGGGAACCGCATGTGGACACCCCCACTGGGGCCTTCGGTGGAGCTCCCTATGGGGCCACGAAACGCTGCCCTGGGTGGGGGAACCGCATGCGAACACCCCCACTGGGGCCTTCGGTGGAGCTCCCTATGGGGCTACGAAACGCTGCCCTGGGTGGGGGAACCGCATGCGAACACCCCCACTGGGGCCTTCGGTGGAGCTCCCTATGGGGCCACGAAACGCTGCCCTGGGTGGGGGAACCGCATGCGAACACCCCCACTGGGGCCTTCGGTGGAGCTCCCTATGGGGCTACGAAACGCTGCCCTGGGTGGGGGAACCGCATGCGAACACCCCCACTGGGGCCTTCGGTGGAGCTCCCTATGGGGCCACGAAACGCTGCCCTGGGTGGGGGAACCGCATGCGAACACCCCCACTGGGGCCTTCGGTGGAGCTCCCTATGGGGCTACGAAACGCGTGAGAGGTGTGCCGAGAGCAGAGGCAAGGAGGGGGAGGAGGGAGGAGGGGGAAGAGGAGGAGAGGAGAGGACGCGGGCACCGTCTCTTCAAAACGAGGACCCAACACCACAGGATGGTTGGGAAAAAATGCAGATTGGGAGCAGGAGTGCGATGGGGCAGGGATAGGCAACACAAGAAGGACCCGAAGCCATGGGGGGCTGGACGGCCACGCGAGGGGGGGGAGCGGCAGCTGAGGCATCGCAGGAGGACGACGCGCTCAAGGTAGCTCTGCAGGCAGCGTGCTATGACAGCGTCCGTGGGAGAGCCTCGCCCCAGGCGTCCGCCGTCGGCGTCTCCGGGGGACCGAGCCCGATGATGGCCTGCAAGCTTGCTCGCAGAGGAGGCGGCGGAGGAGCAGTAGCTGCAGAGAGACGGCAGGAGGGATGAGAGACGAGGGCGGCAAGCCGATGGTGGCCCGCTCCTGGTGAGATGGGCGCGCCACTGCCCGTAGCGCTGCATCCGCCTCTGCCACGTAAGTTGCGTGGCTAAGATGGCGGCACGGGAACATGATATTGACGGTGTATGGGCTCCGAATCGCATGGTCTGGGTATTTACGCTGCAACATGCAATAGACAAACAACGAAATCCTACTATACATGCTCGAAACATGGAGCTACGTCAGGGAAGGTCAAGCCATGTTTGCAGTGACGGTCCCGCGTAGCATTACGAATCACCACTGCGAGTACAAGGAGGAACTGTGGGAATCGCATACAGCATAAACAACATCAGTTAGCCAGCGCGGACCCCGAAATGTAGGCCCTCGCATTCTCGATGGGCAAGCTGTGCGGCGCAACGTGTGCGTGGTGCATTACCCTGTGCCGCGAGTGACTACCTCCCATGCTCGAGCACAGATCACACCCGCCCACCCGGAACTTCTGGACAACACTCACGCAGGCCGCGGGTCAGTTACCCGCCAGCATTTGCTCGCGAATCTCTAGCGGCGCAGTGACGAGCGAGGCCCACGCATGCAGATCCATGACTCGGGCGGGAGGGTGATTGTGGTGACGACGACATCCGACGACGATGGTGATGTTGATGTTGATGTTGATGTTGATGTGAATGATGATGATGCTGATGATGCTGCTGATAATGCTTGTGATGATGGTGGTGATGATGATGATGCTGATGCTGCTGATGGTGATGCTGCTGCTGATGATGATGATGATGATGAGGTTGCTGATGATGATGATGATGCTGATGACGATGATGATGATGATGATGATGATGATGATGATGATGATGATGATGATGATGATGATGATGATGATGATGCTTATGCTGATGCTGATGCTGATGCTGATGCTGATGCTGATGATGCTGATGCTGATGCTGATGCTGATGATGATGATGAGGAGGAGGAGGAGGATGATGATGATGATGATGATGGTGATGGTGATGGCAATGATGACGCTGGCGATGATAATCACGATGGAGTCCCACCAGCCCTTTAGGGCGTAGGTGGTCTAGAGCGTTTCCTCTGCCAACCCCCTTCTTTCCCTTCGGGGAGGGGTTTATCCCTCCCCTTACCCCTCCCCACCGACCTGGACGAGGGGTTCCGCGGGTCGTTGAGACGTCCACGATGGCCCAAGACGGCTCCAAGAGCGAAAAAGCACAAACCATTGACTTTCCCTAGGTTTTGGAAGGATTCGGGCCTCTTGGGGGGGCCCAAGAGGCGATTCGAGGCACTCTAGAAGGGCAAGGCGAATATACGACCCCCCCTTCTTCGATAGATCTTTTCCAACATGGCCCCAAGAGCGCCCCGAAGGCTCCCAAGAGCGCCCCAAGAGCGCCCCAAGAGGGCCCCAAGAGGCTCCAAGAGGTCCGCAAGAGGCCTTCAAGACGCTCCCAAGCGACCCCCAAGAGGCCCCAAGAGGCTCCCAAGATGGCCCAAGACGGCTCCAAGAGCGAAAAAACGAAAAAGCACAAACCATTGACTTTCCGTAGGTTTTGGAAGGATTTTGGCATCAAGAAGGGCCCAAGAGGCGATTCGAGGCACTCTAGAGGGGCAGCGTTAATATACGACCCCCCCTTCTTTGATAGATCTCCTCCAACAAGGCCCCAGGAGCGCCCCGAAGGCTCCCAAGAGCGCCCCAAGAGGGCCCCAAGAGGCTCCAAGAGGTCCGCAAGAGGCCTTCAAGAAGCTCCCAAGAGACCCCCAAGAGGCCCCAAGAGGCTCCCAAGATGGCCCAAGACGGCTCCAAGAGCGAAAAAGCGAAAAAGCACAAACCATTGATTTCCCTTAGGTTTTGGAAGGATTTTGGCTTCAAGAAGGGCCCAAGAGGCGATTCGAGGCACTCTAGAGGGGCAGCGCTAATACACGACCCCCCTTCTTTGATAGATCTCCTCCAACAAGGCCCCAAGAGCGCCCCGAAGGCTCCCAAGAGCGCCCCAAGAGCGCCCCAAGAGGGCCCCAAGAGGCCCCAAGAGGCCCGCAAGAGGCCTCCAAGAGGCTCCCAAGGGACCCCCAAGAGGCCACAAGAGGCTCCCCGGTATACGCAAGAGGCCCCCGGGACCGCCAAGAGGCCCAACAGACGGCCCAAGAGGCCCCCAAGCTCGCCATTGTCCCCCTCCTCCTCCTCTTTTTCTCCCTCCTCCCTCCTCCCCCTCCCCCCCCCTCCTCCTCCTCCTCCGCCTCCTCCTCCTCCTCCTCCCCCTCCCCTCCCCCTCCCCCTCCCCCTCCTCCGCCTCCTCCTCCTCCTCCTCCTCCTCCCTCCTCCCCTCCTCCTCCTCCTCCTCCTCCTCCTCCTCCTCCTCCTCCTCCTCCTCCTCCTCCTCCTCCTCCTCCTCCTCCTCCTCCTCCTCCTCCCCTCCTCCTCCTCCCCTCCTCCTCCTCCTCCTCCTCCTCCTCTCCTCCTCCTCCTCCTCCTCCTCCTCCTCCTCCGCCTCCTCCTCCTCCTCCTCCTCCTCCTACTCCTCTCCCCCCCCGTGATCCTGCTCCTGCCTGCTTTCCTACTACTGGTTCCTTTTTCTCCTCCTCCTTCTCCTCCTCCTCCTCCCCCCCTCCTCCTCCTCCTCCTCCTCCTCCTCCTCCTCCTTCCCCTCCTCCTTTTCCTCCTTCTCGTCCTCCTCGTCCTCGCAGTCCTCCTCCTCCCCCTCCTGCTCCTGCTCCTCCTCCTGCTCCTCCTCTTCCTCCTCCTACTCCGACGTCGACGGCTCCTCCCTCATCCTCCCCCTCTTCTGTATATGGCGGCTCACTCCGCCCTTTGTTCTTGTGCATGCTCCCCCGCTTCCTTCATAACCTCCACTCCCCTGGCACTCATTTCTGGACGGGCTGGTGGGGATACGCGAAGAGTCTAGAATTACGATGCTGCTGATGCTGGTAGTGATGCTGATGCTGCTGATGCTGATGCTGATGCTGATGCTGCTGGTGATGAAGAAGCAGTTCGCGCGCGAAGCAATTCAGACTGCTGTGACCCCGCTCCCCAAACGATGCTTACACTTGGGGCCTCTCATCGGTTCGACAGGTCCACCAACGCCGGCCCGTGGGCGCCTCCTGCGCGCAATGAGTCACCCGGCGTCGGCCGGGGCCCCGCCCGGTGCCGGCGCGCGGGGGCCCAGTGTGGCCCCGCGGGCGGCCTCGCGGGCGCCCCAAGCGCGGGGAGGGTCCGCCGAGGAGTGCCGCCCGGTGGGTGCCTTGTGCGCGCCCCCAGGTGGGCGCCCCGAGGGAGGGGCTGCAGCCCGTGCGCAGGCTGTGCGGTGCAGTCTGCGTGGTGCAAGCTGTGCTGGTGCAGCCTGTGCAAGGTGAGCTGTGCGGTGCAAGACTGGCGGCGCGAGCCGTGGCCGCTGCGGTGCAAGAGAAAAGTGGGCGTGAGCTGTGGCTCCTCCTCCTCCTCCTCCTCCCTCCTCCTCCTCCTCCTCCTCCTCCTCCTCCTCCTCCTCCTCCTCCTCCTCCTCCTCCTCCTCCTCCGCTCGACGAGGCGCCCACGAGCGGGCATCAGGCGAAACCTCGGCAGACCCAGCCAGCACACGGGGAGCCCACGAGGCACCCACAACTGGACACCAACGGGGACCACCGTGGGAAACTCTGGCTGACCCGTCCAAATTCCTGAGGCAACCCAAGTAAGAACCCTCAGACGTAAGCGGAACCACTGTCTGGGAAACGTTGTAAGGAGATTGAACGTCTAGAATTATCACCCACCGCCGCGCATTCCAGCGGGAATGCTGTACCCTCGGGCAACTATCTTCGCGCTTCGCGCTCCGCGAAGCGCGAGGTGCGATTATCTTCGCGCATTCGCGCCACCCCCCGTGGAACGGGATGAGGGGCTCGCGCCTCCCTCTGGAATCGCCCGGACCGCGAAGCGCGACACGCGACGATCTGCGCACCCTCGTGGTGGCCCTACTTAGTGCATCGCGCCCCCCTCCTCCAAGCAATGGACTGCACCTTGATGGGGGGGGGCTCCGGCTAGCCCCCCCTGACAGATCCAGCTGGACAACCGCTGCGCCGTCCCCAGGAAAAAAAAACCATGGCCATTCTTCCTCGTGAGAGGAAAACAAGGTCGCCGAATGCGACACAACGATGATCGCACGACATCGGGCAAATACGATCAAACAGCTAGTCATCCGTTCTCGTCTGGGTCGTCGGCCGCTGCCTTGCAGTCTCGACGACGACGAGCAGGAAATATCTGTCCCATCGTCCACTCCCCAGCGAGGCGCTGCAGCCACTCCCGGGCATTTATGAGTCGAGTGATCGCACTGTCCTTGCACTGCGCGCTGCGCGAAGCGCGATCCTGGTTGCGCCCTCGCACGGGGACACCCCGTCGGGGGGCAGCTCTCCGGCGGGTGGCACCCGCTGGTACACGGACGGAGCTGGCCGAGCAGTCCGCCCAGCTCCATATGCCGTGCCAGCGCCTCTCGTGCCCGGGACGCACAACACGAGGAGGAGGAGGAGGAGGAGGAGGAGGAGGAGGAGGAGGAGAACAGGAGGAGGAGGAGGAGGAGGAGGAGGAGGAGGAGGAGGAGGCTCCGCATCGCGTCGCCGCTGCTGCGCGTGAGCGATGTGCTGCGGTCGTGGGTGTCGGCTCGGCGCGTCGCGGAGGGCGGCCCCTGCGAGCGGGCAGGCGTCTCGCTGGGCTCCGCGGGGCTGGAGGCCGGGAAAGGTTTTCGGAGCGCTGACGCTCGGGGACCCAGGCGTGCTCAGCGTGCCGCGCCGAAGCGTGGTGGGCCAGAAGGCGGCGCGAAACGCTGGACCAGAGCTCCTCACCGTAAGGCTCCGTCCTTTGGTACCTCTTGGATGGGGTCCGAGCAGATGGGGTCGGCGAAGCGCCGCATCGGCAATGCATCGGCGCCGTCGGCGTGGAGAAACTCTGGCTCCACATCGAGCCGCATCGTCGATGCAGTGGATATGTGGAGCGATCCGTCGACCCCATGCACTCGGAACCCATCTTGGAGGCCTACGGTCCTCTTGTCCACAGGGTTGAACGCTTCAGGGGTGCTCAGCCTGACAGTTTTAGGCGGCCAGGGCGTCTGATTTGGTTGGGACTCCAGAAAATCAGCTAGGAGGGGGTGTGAAGCCAAATCCGCTCAGAATCGGTCACCCCCGGACCCCTGACTGCCTACCTACCTAACCACCCCAACCCAACCCGAAGACCGGAATTTCGCCAGAAAGTCTGGTTGCAGGGGTACAGGCTGCATATGTGTTTAGTCAACCTTCCCCGACCCCCCCCCCCACCCCTGGAAATTGAGGGCGACTCAGGGCCTTCGGGTTGGGGTGTTTTGCTGGGCGGTGACTCACGGGGCCCATCTGGAGCATTCGTTATTTCGGATCCGCATGCGGCCCCCAGAGGCCGCAAGAGGCATAAACCTCCTCGAACCCAGCACCTCGGACAAAAAGAGCCCCCACCCTTTGCTGGCCGGACCACCTCATCAGACCCTCCGCCAGCTCCAGCGCCCGTGCACCCACCGACCCCAGCCCTCTAGGACGGGACCAGGACGAGGGCACATCCGCTCCAGAGCCTCACCGCGCTCCTGAGCGCTCCGAGCAGGCCGCGGCGCCGCCCAGGAGATCCTCCAGAGCCGCCAGATCTCGTGGCTTCTCGATCTGTCCTCGCCCGAACTCCTCCTCGTCCTGGACTCGCCCCGCAAGCCCTGCGCGCCATCCCCTCCCGTGCCTGTCGGGAGAAGGGCCAGGGGCGGGAGCGGCTCCCTTTAGGTGCCAGGCGCTGGAAAAAGCATGCCCGTGCCCTCTTGGGGGGGGGGGGCAGGGCGCAGGAGCCGCCGCTGCTCCGGAAGGTGGGTGACACTAGGCGGCGAGCGCATGGTGGGACCGCAAAAGGGAGCTTAGAGGATCGAGCACCGAGGTTCGAGGAGTTCGGTTTCCGGGTGCGTTTCGCCTCCTGCTCTGGGCCTCTGGGGGTCTCCCCGGAACCACGGCTGAATCCGCCTTCAATTCTTGGTCAGGACGCGCTCCGAATCAGGTCGAGGGCTCGGTCTTTTGACCCCCGTCCCCTGGCCCCCTGGGGCGGGCCTTCCCAGAAGGCGGCGGGGCTTCTCAGAAGCCCGAGGCCTTCAGAGAAGCCGCCTCTTGCTTCGGGAAGGCTTGGAGGACTGATCAGAAGGCCAGAGGCCTTCCGAGCCTCCTGGGAAAGCCCGCCAACTCTGCATCACCCCCCGTGGGCGAACCGCCAAGAAATAGCACGAACAACCGGCACACATAGAAGTCGTGCGCGAAACAGCACGCGACCCCCGGGCAACCAGAAGAGGCGGGAAGACGAGGCTCCGGCGTGCGCCTGCGGACGGTGTCGCCTCATGGGAGGTCAGTGATGGAGGTCGGTGGCTTGTGCTTATGGTCCCTGTTGGTCGGTGGTGGCTGGTGCTTCTGAGCAGGTGGTCGGAGGAGGAGCAGGAGCAGGAGCAGGAGCAGGAGGAGGAGGAGGAGGAGGAGGAGGAGGAGACGGGGGAGGAGGAGGAGGAGGAGGAGGAGGAGGAGGAGGAGGAGGAGGAGGAGGAGGAGGAGGAGGAGGAGGAGGGAGGAGGAGGAGGAGGAGGAGGAGGTGGTGGTGGTGGTCACTGCATAAGGGAAACAGAATCCCGAGCAGAGCAACACGCACCACGACCACGACGACGCCGACGACGACGACGACGGAGACGAGGCGCGCTTACGATCCGCACCGAAGCACGGATTTGGGAAAGGGCCCACCCTGCAGGTTCGGTTAAACAGCACATCGTTGAGCGGTGCTGCAGCCTCCCCTGAGCACAGGCCCCCCCAGAGCATCAGCCAGACAAGTCGGGTTTGCACCCTCATGCCTTGCTGGACTCTGGGCGCGTTTCGGCACCCTCTCCCCCAACCTCGTCAGGGCCACCGACAAGGGAGAGGGCGGCGGTGGCCGACGCGTCCACCGAGCTAAGAAGCTCAAAGCGCCGCGGCTCAGAGAGCCGGGAAGACAGACAGACAGACGGACGGACGGACAGCCAGGCGGCATGCAATGCCTGGCAAGCCAAGTGGGTGGTCACTGCATAAGGGAAACAGAATCCCGAGCAGAGCAACACGCACCACGACCACGACGACGCCGACGACGACGACGACGGAGACGAGGGGGAGAAGGGGGAGGAGGAGGGGGAGGAGGAGGAGGAGGAGGAGGAGGAGGAGGAGGAGGAGGAGGAGGAGGAGAAGGGGAGGAGGAGGAGGAGGAGGAGGAGGAGGAGGAGGAGGAGGAGAGGAGGAGGAGGGAGGAGGAGGAAGGAGGAGAGGGAGGAGGAGGAGGAGGGAGGAAGGAGGAGGGAGGAGGAGGAGGAGGAGGAGGAGAAGGAGGAGGAGGAGGGCGGGGGAGGAGAAGGAGGGCGGGGAGAGAGGAGGGCGGGGGTGAGGAGGCGGGAGGAGGAGGAGGAGGAGGGGAGGAGGAGGAGGAGGAGGAGGAGGAGGAGGGAGGAGGAGGAGGAGGAGGAAAAAGAAGAGGGAGGAGGAGGGCGGGGGAGGAGGAGGAGGAGGACTATGGACTATGGATTGGCCTGCCTCCGAAGAGGCAGGTCCGAGGAGGAGGAGGAGGAGGAGGAGGAGGAGGACGAGGCGGAGGAGGAGGAGGCGGAGGAGCCCGAGGTAGGTGCAGGGAAGGACGAAGTGGAGGACCCGGACCTCGCGGCGTTGCGTGGCGCCCTCGCCCAGGCCCGCCGCCCCCGTCGCGCCAGGTGTTCGCAGCGCACTTCGGGCGCGCTGCGCGGGGCGCTCTACGATCGGGGCGTTGACGTAAGGAGCCCAAAATAAGAAATGAGGCCCTATTTTCCCACAGGTTAAACTCCGATGTCCCATGGAACACCTCAGGAAAACCTGAGGCAAACTGCTAAACAGTCAAGGAACACCGAGCCCCTCTCCAACGAAGAGGGTTCCTTCTTCAGCGCCCCGACTGCAAGACCAAAGCCAAGACGAGCGGCGTTGTAGGTTAACGGCTTGGTCGGGAATCTGGCCTCTGTGACTCCGAGCGCGCGCATCCTGCGATGCCGCCACCTGCCAAGCCGCTGCGTAGAGCACCCTTCGCCCGTCTGCGGTACAGGACACCTGCGCGCTGCCTCGCACCACTCGGGCTGCCGAGCCAGACGACGTGATGAGCACCATAAACACCGCTGTGAATGGGCGGAATCAAGCTGTGCACGTCTGAGGTGCACTGCGGATGGGCGTCCGCCCGATCAAACTCCTGAAGTCGGTCGACCTCCCCGTGGCCCATACAGTCGGGCCTCTGACAGAAGAATAACACCTTTCAAGAACCTGAAAACCTCCGCCGGCCAAAACGAAGAGCATTTGAGGGCACCCTCCCCGAGGACGCACAAGAACGTCCAACAAGCACGAAGAACATTCGGGTACCCTCCCCGAACCGACCTCGATCTTATACCTCGGTCCGAGTGTGTGTGTGTGTGTGTAGCCCATCCCCACCCCACCTTCCAGAATAAAGTTAGGTCGGGCAGGTCCTCGTACAGGCGGATTTTTGAGGACAAGTTAGACTTGGCAAGGATGCTCAAACATAGTCACTAATCCGCAACAATCGTCATCATATGATTTGTGCCACTATTTTAGACTACTCCTCCTGTAAAGGGACATGCCCGACTTAAGAACAGCGATTGGAGGTCCTCGTGGATCTCTTGGGTCGGCGCTGGGGGCGCCGCCAAGGTGGAGGCGAGAGCCGACCCGAGAACTCCGTGCTGACCCAGAGGGAGGCCTCCAGGATACCTCCCCCCCTCTGGAGGAGGAGACCCTCCGGAGACCTCTAGTGGGACCTCTCGAGACCTCCTCCTGTGAGCACCAGCACCCCACACGCCTCCCCCCCCCTCGCCCCACGCAGTCCCACCCCTCGGCGGCGAGCGAGGGGGGGGGAAGCGAGAAGGGGCGGGCCTTCTCAGAGGGCTCGGGAGCCCCCCGGCCTTCTGAGAAGTCTTCTGAACCTTCCCCGAAAACGCAGGACGCCTCTCAGAAGGCCGGAGCGCTTCTGAGAAGCCCCGCCGCCTTCTGAGCAGGCATTCTCCTTCTCATTGTCCCTCCAGGCGCGCCGCCGAATGTGGCTTTTTGGTCATAACTCGGGCCTCCAGTGGCCGTTCGAGACGATCCGGGCACCCTCGGAACGCCCTCGGCGAGGCGCAGCCGCTGGCAAGCATACCGAAGCTAGAAAACCGACGAAAACGAAAGCGTGCGAACATCTCGAACCTCCAACTTCGAACATCTCA